TAACTTGCTGAGCAGGATTATCTGGATATCTTCAAGGGCCATAAACCACAGACAGGATGTCTTCAGGAGCATACTGCCCTGTATCTGTTCAAGTTGCCATGGCACATTCCTGAGGTCCTTCCTAGAACTGAGTATAGCGGGTTGTCTAAGATGGTGGCCCTTCCCTAAGATGAAGTCTGTATTGCCTTCACAACCCTATGAGCTACTTTTATGTCCAGTCAATTTTACAGAGTTTTCATCCAAAGCATTGATTACTTTGTCTTGTTAAATTCTTTTAGAGCTCTAACCTGACAGAGATCATTACCTGGAAAATGGCAAGTTGCCCTCATAACATCACACATGTCTGGTTCTGCCTTCTAAGCCATGAGAATACTGAGGACTCACTATTTTGTCCCCTTTGCTACTTCTGCTGCCACTGTGTGGCTCCCTCTCTACCTGGGAACCTTACTTAAGGAAGAAAAAAAAAAAGCCAATGCCTCTGCTCACAGAGCTAAGTCTTGCATATCAACTTCTCTTCTCAAACATGGAGGATTTTATTTTCCATGGCACACTCATCAGTTTTCACCAGTTTTGTCCTCTAGCTAAGGTAGGTCAAGACCCTACACCAGGTTCATCGTGTACTCTCTAATCAAGGACATCTTTGGTACAGTCTTAGCCTTGAGGACCTATCAACCATAGCAACATCTCATTGCTCATCTTTGTGGATGAGAGAGTATGGATTACCCCCAGATTTAGCCGACAAATTCCACCAACTAAAAGAGTGAAGCAAGCTTCCAGCCAGCATGTTCAGGACTTAGTTAACTGGGACAAGACAGCCTGTCTTGCTTCAGATGCCCACTCCCTGACAGCCATAAGAAAACCACTGGTCATGGTACTGAAGAACTCTCACCCAGACTCGCTGCATGGTAGAGGGTAAGAAACGCAAAAGGTTGCCCGTGCCACTGGAATTTAATGTTGACTATCATAACAAGGGAACAGAATCATACAGCCCTGGCTGTCACTGATTTGGATTACAACATTCAGATTAAGTGGCTAGAAAAAGAGATCAAGGATTAAGAGCACTTGCTTCATAATCATGAGGATTGGAGTCTGAATCCTGGATCCCACCCACACATGCCTATAACCCATCTGGATCTCACACACAATATACCTGTAACCCATCCAGATCACACACACACACACACACACACACACACACACACACACACACACACGCGCCTGTAACCCATCGGGATCCCCACCCCTCATGCATGTAACTCATCCAGATCCCACCCCCACATGCATGTAACCCAGGCTCCAGGGGGAGCAGAGATAATGGATTGCTGGAGTCTGCTGGCTTCCAGCCTAGCTAAGAAATACAGGCCTCAGGTTCCAGGAGAGACATTGCCTCAAGGGAATAGAGTGGTAGAGGACATCAGATGCTTTCTTCTGACCTCCACATACTCAGACACACACTAGTACATACATTCACACAGACACAGACACAGACACACACACACACACACACACACACACACACACACACACGCACGCACGCACGCACACACGCACACATGCACACACACACAAATAAGCAAGTAGATCTCTTTAAAAAATTAGATTACTGCCAACTTAATTTCCTTAGTTCACTTCTTTGCAACTTCCGAGTTGGAGCTAGGATGGGTTATACCTGAATTCATCAAAGCTGGTAAGATTTACAGCCTGCGACGATCACTAACCCTCGCCATATTTTATGATGCTGTGCAGTGATTAAACCTGGGCTTTCGAAGTCTAGGTTTCTAAGAAGACAGTTTGACAGCGAGGCGGCCCTTCTCTCTTGATGTTGCGCAGAAGGAAACAGGCCAGCAAAGAAAACTCTCCTTCATGATAGAGATCAAAAAGCATAAACAAATTTTAATCTTTTTTTTTTTTTAGAAAACTTTCATCTCAATTGATTAGTCAGCTTTCCAAGCCCTTCATTTGGTTTACTAGATCATAAATCCAATTTAATAGCACACTGCAACTAATTTGAGATCCAATAGATTGCTTGTTAGTTTTCCCTTTAATTAAAAATGATTTTCTTCTTAAAGGAGACTCGCACTTCGTGTGTTTACGTTTTACTTCTTTAAAAGGAGCTTTATATCCTTTCCGTACCCAACCTACCTGCTGGCAGCAGCAACATCCAAGCATGTTATACAGCAGCAAGTTGTAGTGCTCAAGGTTCCAGAAACATCCACAAGTGTTCTTCAGAAGGAAACAGAATGTTGGTTGATATAGTATAGGTCAACTTGGTAAAGGTGGGTTAAGAACGCTTCCACTGTTCTTCTGTGGTAGTTCTTCCCCACCATCTTATGTTGTAATAATCCATGAAACTGTGTGGTTAAAGACTACACTGTGGTATCAGGGTTCAAAACCTGTCTCTATTTCCTCATCTGAAAAATAACCGTGGTAATAGTCGGTGTTGTTAAAATGCAATGAGATAGTTCATATCTCAATTGGAGAAGTGCCTCACAAACAGAAGTCCTTCAATAACTACTATTCTTACCCTATTGCTATTGATCTTTTCATTTCTTTCATAATGTTAGGAACTCTATCTCCCTCAGCATTCTATAATTATTTAGGTGTAAAGCCAGGAAGGGTTCAGACTTATTCAACATTTCAAAATTTCCCAATTTTATTTACCTCATCGTAGAAGCAACCAGTGGATCAGATCCCTAAGCCCGGTTTATTTACCCAGGTTTCAGCACAACTGTGTGGCACAGGCTTCTCTATGATCAGCCACCTGTGCAGACACCCACTTCTATTTGTCTGGCCCAAAAGTAAATTTCAATATGCAATATCAACAGCTTCATACGCTGAGTAGTGAGGGTGCACTTCATCCCATCTCCCATTTTAAAAAAATCTGTGTTCTTTTTGATCTGTGGGCAACAGTCACATTTACATTTGAGGTTAGCTCTACAGGACTTTCAGGGACTTCAGGACTAGACAGTAATCATTCAGGGGACACAGAGGTGGCAGAACTATTTTCATGAATTGCTACACCTCTTCAAAGTACAGACAATCCTTGGCAGTGTGGCCAGAACTCTTACTCAAATGAACTCATGTTCTGGAGCCTTCTTGGATTGTCCCATTTTGAGTGCAGAATCCACTCACAGGTTTTCCTCCACCAATACTCTTTAAATTGGATCTTTAGGAAATCAATCCATTTTCCTCTTGACTGCCATGATAAAATTGGGGTGTTTTTATGAACTTCCTAATGGAGTTAAAGGCTTTGCCAGCCTCTGGCCATGACTACAATTTGCTAAATATTGATAAATAGAACCATCTGTAGAGCACTTTTCAGAACCAATTGGCCGCAGCGACTCACTCAGAACTTGTCCCCTGAACCCAAGTTTTCTCCAGACTGCCAACATTTCCCTGGGGTCTGACACTGGAATCCAGCATTCTTCCTGTGCTGATTATAACTTATTGACTGAAACAGAAGCATATGGAGGCTGTGAGAAAGCCCTTCAAGCCTTGTAAACATGAACATCAGAGATTGATCCCCAGAACCCACCGTTTTAAAAGCTAAGTGTGGTGGTATGTGTTTGCCGTTCCAACCCTGGACAGGCTGGGCAATAGACAGCACCCTTGAGCTTGCTGGCCAGCAAGGGTAGACTACTTGGCAAGTCTCATAGTAGTGAGAGACCCTGTCTCAAATAAAAGGAGGCCAGCACTTGAGGAATGACATCTGAGGTTGTCCTCTGGCCTCCACACACATGCACACATACATGTGTGTAGCTGGAGAGTTTTCTCTCCGGGTCCTGCCAAGCCCCAGCAGTCCGACAGCCCACTGATAAAATAAACACACAGATGCTTATATTATTTAAACTGTTTGGCTTAATGGCTCAGGCTTCTAGCTATCTAGTTCTTACACCTTAAATTAATCCATTTCTATAAATCTATACCTTGCCATGTGGATCATGAATTACCGGCATCTTCACATGCTGCTTGTCATGGCAGTAGCTGGCAGTGTCTCCCTCCGCCTTCCTGTTCTCTCAATTCTCCTCTCTGTTAGTCCCACCTATACTTCCTGCCTAGCCACTGGCCAGTCAGTGTTTTATTTATTGACCAATCAGAGCAACACATTTGACATACAGACCATGCCAGAGCACATATGCCCACATGCACATGTACATCTGAACACACACAAGCAAAATACGAAAAAGGATTGGTGCATAATGGGCACCTCCAACTACCAGACACAAAAACTGCTGATGGGCACCGGACAAGGCAGACTGTGAGGACATTCACGACCCCATCTCAGCTAGTGGAAACCACTGGAGAAAACAGGGTAATAGAATAAAAAATGAAGGGGAGGGGAAAGGAGGCACATGCCAGAAAGGCAGCTTCATTTCAAAGAATCCTGAAGCAGAAGTGAGCTCATCTGTGAGGGGAAGCAGCAGGAAGCCAGACTCATTCAAAGT